GATTTTCCCCAGGCAGTGAAATTAAAATGCTCCACATTCATGGTCCTTCTGCTGAATGTAGAACTTGTTTAACAAGGTTTCTAGTTCTGCCTCTTGTCCAGTGATGTTGCAATACGATGTGGGAAAAGCACATTATGCCTGAGGATGTTGCTGAAAATAAATCAGGGGAATGAAGGAAAGTCTTAGTAGCCCTTGGGTGCTCTCCAAATGAGCAATCTCAGAGCTGTTGCTCTGATAAAATGTTGTTTCAGCTGGGCCCTCTATTGAGAAGGCTTGAAGCCTTTATCTTTTCTGATGAGAACAATACTTGGAATTCTTTTTTGTTCTCCACACTCAGACATATTTAATTTCACTTGTGTTTGACATGTGCCCTTTTCCTCCATCCCGCATATCAGCCTCTACCTAAAAGTATAGTGGAGTGGTTTTCAAACTGTTTAAGTAATAATTGTTTTTTTTCAAACTAAATTGAACTTGATTGTTTAATATGCAAAATAGATAAAGAAGTGGCTTCTGTGGTGTGGGATCCTCTTTCTTCCCAAGTTTCAAATGAGATTCTGTGGAGCATAATTTGAAAACCTCTGGCATAATGAGAAGAGCCTTAGACAAGAAGTCACAATCACTGGAATAATTTCACTGAACTTAAGAAACATTTATTGAGCATGTTCATTGTGGCAAGCAATAAAATGCCCGGGGAAACAAACAAACAAAAAGACGTTTTAAAAACTTTATCTTTGAGTGTAGGAAAAAGCACATGCAGGAACAAGTGTAATTAAATATTGCAGGTTTCTGGAAAAGGTTAATGATAAGTCTTATCTGTGCCTTGGTTTCTGTAAACTTAAAATGAATAACTTGGAACAAACAACATACAAAATTTAACCACTTTTACATGTATGGCTCTATTAATCTGTTAATTCTGTGTTACTAACTTTTGATCACAAAGGAAAGCTATGGGAGGTGGAGAGTAAAAGATGGAAGTACAATGACTGGGTGCTATATGTGCATCTTTGAAAACTTTTTTTTTTTTTTTTAAATTAAGAAAGGTATGTCATTGTAGTCAGAGAGGCAGGGGTGGACAATATGTTGTATAGTGCTAAGGAGCAGAGTTAGAGTATTATCTTCAGCTTAACCGGAATACTCCTTCCACCTCCATTACTGATATAATACCCACCTTTCCTCTGCAAGCTTACAGCCTCTAATGCTACAGACAAGAGTCAAAAAGATTAGGAAAATGAAAAGTACAAACCCAGGGAACACTACAGAGTTGTCATAAAGATCATATTTTTAATCACTTGGCATTAAAAAATTATTTATTTTCTGAAATTTGGTTTTTGAGATATAATTTACATACAGTGAAATCCAAAGATCTTTGTATGGAGTTTGATCACTTTTAAAAAATGCATAAACTTGTATAACTACCACTCCTGTTAAAGCATGAAATGTCTCCACTTCTGAAAGTTCCCCAGTGCCACTTCCCAGTATTTCTCACGCCTGAAAGTAACCACTGTTCTGATTTTCAAGGTTAGCTATTTTTATTATTAGTTACATTTTTATTAATAGGTTTAGTAGGAATTAGTAAATAGTAATTTCCTTCCTTCCTCCATGTTTGGCATACTAACAAATGACTCTATTCTATAGGCCCCCTTTCTAATTAGCAATTTAATAAAGTAAGAATACGGATTCACTTGAAAGTTTAAATAAATAAGCAGTGAATAAAATGAATATATCTCAAGCTGAGAATGAATTTTTAACAGAAAAGTTAGTACAATATTGAAATTTAAAATAAATAATCCTACTTTCAGAGAAAGATCCAGTGTATCTTCTGTCGTGCCATGACCTTCAAACTAAATTGCACAAAATCCAATTTTCAGTCTCGCTAAAGCAAGATTGTCTTTATTTTTTAGACCTTCTGGGAGGTGTTTCTATCACAACTATATACTGGAAAGAAAAACTAGGAAGAGAAGAAGGCATGTGACACATGTAAACTTCAAGCCTTGAATGAGATCAATGACAATCAGAATTTTACTGAGCATTCTCTGTGTTGTGCACTATGTTAAAGGTTCTGCATCCCAGGCTTGTAGTCACTGCATATAATACTTGCTTATTTCATTCAGTCCTTTTAAAAAAAAAAATTTTATCATAAACCATTTCTAGGTGTTTCTTCCACTATTTATTTCGTCTGTCTCCTCACTTCCCTCTTAAGTCCTAGGACTCCCTGTGGGTAGCAGTGATTATAGTCTGCTATTTTATATGCAGCTCCAGTGTTCGGAGAACTGTGTCTTGCTGCCAGTGGAGTTTGACTATCTCATTTCTTTTAACTACACTCACACTTTTAGAACTTTACAGAAAATCAGTAGACAGTAGTACTTAGAGTCAGCCTGAAAGTAAATACAGGTGTACCTCATTTTATTGCACTTCACAGTTACTGGGTTTTTAACAGATTGAAGGTTTATGGCAACCCTGCATTGAGCAAGTCTTTCCGTGTCATTTTTCCGACAGCGTGTGCTTACTTCCTGTCTCTGTGTCACGTTTTGGTAATTCTCACAATATTTCACACTTTTTCATTATTATTATAGCTGTTATGGTGATCTGTGATCAGTGATCTTTGATGTTACTATTGTAATTGTTTTGGGCCACCACGAACTGCATCCATATAAGACGGCGAACTTAATCAATAAATGTTGTGTGTGTTCTGACTGCTCCACGGACTGGCCGTTCCCTCATCTCTCTCTCTCTCTCTCCTCGGACCTCCCTATTCCCTGAGACATGACAATATTGAAATTAGATCAATTAATAACACTACAATGGCCTCTAAGTGTTGAAGTTAAGGGAAGAGTCGCATGTCTCTCACTTTAAATCAAAAGATAGAAATGACTAAGCTTATTGAGGAAGGCATGTTGAAAGACAAGATAGGTGGAAAGCTAAGCCTCTTGCACCAAACAGCGACGTTGTAAATGCAAAGGAAAAGTTTTTGAAGGAAGTTAAAAGTGCTACTCCAGTGAACACATGAATGATAGAAAAGCAAAATAGCCTTATTGCTGACATGGAGAAAGTTTTAGTTGTCTGGTTTAAGGAAAGAAGCCATCTCTATAACATAGAAGTGCAAGGTGAAACAGCGAGCACTGAGGTAGAAGCTGCAGCAAGTTATGCAGAAGTTCTAGCTAAAAAATTGATGACAGTGGCTACGCTAAACAACAGTTTTTCAGTGTAGACAGAACAGCCTTATATTGGAAGAAGATGCCATCTAGACTTTCATAGCTAGAGGGGAGAAGTTAGTGCTTGACTCTGAAGCTTCAAAGGACAGGCTGACACTCTTTTTAAGGGTTAATGCAGCTGATGACTTTAAATTGAAGCCGATGCTCATTTACCATTCTGAAAATCCTAGGACTCTTAAGAATTATGCTAAATCTACTCTGCCTGTGCTCTATAAGGGGAACAACAAAACCTGGTTGACAGCACATCTGTTTACAACATGGTTTACTGAATATTTTAAGCCCACTATTGAGACCTACTGCTCAGAAGAAAGGATTCTTTCAAAATATTGGAAACCCTGGTGGCATAGTGGTGAAGTGCTACGGCTGCTAACCAAAAGGTTGACAGTTCGAATCCACCAGGCACTCCTTGGAAACTCTATGGAGCAGTTCTACTCTGTCCTGTAGGGTCACTATGAGTTGGAATCCACAGCAACAGGTTCAAAATATTACTCCTCATTGACGATACACTCAATCACTCAAGATCTCTGATGGAAATGTACGAGATTAATGTTGTTTTCGTGCCTGCTAATACAGTATCCATTCTGCAGCTCATGGAGCAAGGAGTAATTTTGACTTTCAAGACTTATTTTTGAAGAAATACATCTTGTAAGGCTATAGCTGCCATAGATAGTGATTCCTCTGATGGATCTGGGCATAGTAAATTGAAAAGCTTCCAGAAAGGATTCACCATTCTAGATGCCATTAAGAACATTTGTGATTCACGGGAGGAGGTTAAAATAACAACATTAACAAGAGTTTTGAAGAAGTTGATTCCAACCATCATGCATAACTTGGAGGAGTTCAAGGCTTCAGTGGAGGAAGTAACTACAGATGTGGTGGAAATAGCAAGAGAACTAGAATTAGAAGTGGAGTCTGAAGATGTGATTGAATTGCTGCAATCTCATGGTAAAACTTTAACGGATGAAGAGTTACTTCTTATGGATGAGCAAAGAAAGTGGTTTCTTGAGATGGAATCTACTCCTAGTGAAGATGCTGTGAACATTGTTGAAATGCCAACAAAGGATTTAGAATATTACATGAACGTAGTTGATAAAGCAACAGCAGGGTTTGAGAGGATTGACTCTAATTTTTGAAGAAGTTCTACCTTGGGTAAAATGCTATCAAACAGCATCAAATGCCACAGAGAAATCTTTCGTGAAAGGAAGAGTCAGTCAATGCTGCAGACTTCATTGTTGTCTTATTTTAAAAAATTGCCATAGCCACCCAACCTTCAGCAACTATCACCCTGATCAGTCAGCAGCCATCAACATCAAGGCAAGACCCTCTACCAGCAAAAAGATTACACTTGCTGAAGGCTCCGATGATGGTGAGCATTTTTTAGCAATAAAGTATTTTTTAATTAAGGTATGTACATTGTTTTTTTAGACATAATACTATTGCACACTTAATAGACTACAGTATAGTGTAAACATAACTTTTATATGCACTGGGAAGCAAAAAAATTCATTTGACTCACTATATTGTGATACTCACTTTACTGTGGTGGTCTGGAACTGAACTCGCAATATCTCTGAGGTATGCTTATAAGTAAATGAACAAATGGATGGATGAATGAATGAATGAATGCCTGAGACCTGCACCTGCCAGGCATTGTGGGAGAGAATAACTAGCCAGATGAAGGAGAAAGAAAATTCAGTGGAATATGGTAGAAATGGATTAGGCTGAAGAAGGAAAGCAATGCTATGCTGTTTGGGTAAAGAATTATTATTATTATTTGTTTATATATAGCCACAGTCTTCCTAGAGTTTTGGAAAAGGAGAAGAAGTATACTAACGTATGCCTGGGACCTGATTGAATGGGAAGAGGAGGAGGTAAGATGTTAGGTAACCAGTATATAAGGAAACTGGGAAATACGTGATGCAAAAATTATTCACTGACAAACATTCCGGCAAGAAACAGCTAAACTCCATAGCATTTCTCTTGATTTTTTTTTTAATAACATGATTTCTTATTTCGTGAACATAATAGAACTCAATGGTTAAGTAAGCAATGTTTCAAATCACTTCTATGATGTTTCCTTCAATTACACTAGTGAAAAAATTTTCTGATTAAAATATAGTTTAAGGTTTCTTTGGAAAATAGTTTACATCTTATTAGAAAAGAAATTTACTTATTTATGAAGATAATATAAAGTATGTCAAATTCTAGGAGCTTTGTATCAACTATTGTTGGAGGCTTTTTTTTTTTTTTTTTTTAAGTTGATGGCTTTGACATTTAGGCAACTTTATTTTCTCTCATAGGAAACACTTCGCCCCCAGTTTGAAGCAAAGTATTACACGATGGAGAGAGTGAATCCCATCACAGGAAAACCTGAGCCACATCAGCCCTTCTCAGACAAAATTACTCGTCTTCTTGTCTCTGTCTCAGGGATATTTTTCATGGTAAAGTATAACGATTAGTGTCAGAATCTAATAGAATTTATTTTCCCCTGGAGAAAGAAGGGGAGTTGTGGCATTCCAGGTTAAAAGTAAGTTCTATGATACCTACTCATTTTGTAGCCCCGAGGAGTCAAGAAACTGTACTTTTATCAATACTTTAGTAATTTGCATACAATTAAACAAAATAGAAATTACAGGAGGTCATGGAGATATGACAGAGGGAGTTTGTGCATATCCTTAAATAAAATAATTTTTGGAAGAAACGGCTATCATCGAAAATAAAATGGAAATAATAGAAATTGCTCTGATGAATTAGGCATATCACATGGGTGTTAAAACGAAGCATTTTATTTGAATGTGGTGATGTGGGCAGATTTTGCATTTTACTGTGACAATTTTGTTAGTAACCAAACCAACTGAAATCTTTATATTATTCATTTTGACTGTAATGTAACTTAATTCCTTAAAGGAGAAAATTAAATTCGTGTATCTTCTCTTGGAATGATAAACACCTCCAGCTCTTGACAGTGGTATATTGGATCTCTGCTTTTGCTTTTAACTTGTTAATGACGCATAATAAGGATGTTTCCTCTGGTCACCCACATTGCAGATTTCTCTGGTGATCACTGCAGTGTTTGCAGTGGTGGTGTATCGCCTGGTCGTCATGGAACAGTTCGCATCATTCAAGTGGAGTTTCATCAAACAGCATTGGCAGTTTGCAACATCTGCTGCTGGTGTCTGTATTAATTTTGTAATTATCATGATGCTGAATGTTGTAAGTGTTTACAATCTTATTTTCCAAAAAGTGAAAAGGGTTGGGTAGGGGAGAGTTCTGTGTTTCCTTTACACTTGGATTATATTCACCCAAAAACCAAAACCAAACCTGTTGTCGTTTAGTGGATTCTGACTCACAGTAACCCTAGAGGACAGAGTACAACTGCCCCGTAGGGTTTCCATAGCTGTAATCTTTATGGACACAGACTGCTGTATCTTTTTCCTGTGGAGTGGCAGGTGGGTTCAAACTGCCGACCTTTCAGTTAGCAGCCAAGTGCCACCAGCGCTCCTTATTCACATTGAAGCTATAATAACAAAGACAGCTCAGTTTAGCAGAAAAGATTTTGCTTATGTGGTTTAGATAATGGCTTTCTGAAATTAAAACCAATTCTAGTTGTATTGTCTTCCTATACTTTGAGTTTATAACCTAGATTAGTGATAATTTCCAGAGTGTCTAGTATTCTGTCTTTCCTTTAATTCTTTCAACAACTCTACAAATTCCCCCTATTATACAAATGAGAAAACTGAGGTTCAGAGAAGTTAAATAACTTGCATATACTAGGTAGGATTATATTTACATCATAAAACAATTTACATGGATAACTGAGCAATGAATAAATAATGAAATTTCTGTCATATATGGGGAACATATATTGGGTTCTAAATGTACATTGACACTGATATTACGTATTTAGTTTGGAGAGACTGGAACCATTTGCTATTTAACTTTCATATAATCCAAAAATCAAACCTGTTGCCCTTGAGTCAGTTCCGACTCATAGGAGCCCTATAGGACAGAGTAGAACTGCCGCATAGGGTTTCCAAGGAGCAGCTGGTGGATTCCAACTGCCGACCTTTTTGGTTAGCAGCTGAACTCTTAAGCACTGCGCCACCAGGGCTCCATCAGGGAAGGCTTTAAGAGAAAAGTGAAGTGTCACTGTGATGAATGAGTAAATTTCAATGTAAGGGTAATAGTTAATATCTTCTATTATATTCTTTTCTTAAGGTTTAGTTTGTAGAAGGAGATTACTATTTATTGTATCTCCAAGTAAGCCATAAATATCTTAATTTATGCCATTGACTCATAGATTAAAGTATACAACAAACACTGAAATAATGAAGTATGAGGACTAGGAGGCCTGCATGGTAGGACATGTATTGTAGTACAGGTTGTTCACTGCACAAAGGCACCCCATTGAGGGGGGAATCATTCACAACATAGACATTATAAATTTTTACATTTATGATGATACACTTAGGTAAAATAGTAAAAGATCTTTTGCTAACAAAATCAGTACATTATGATAGTTTTTCAGTAGAGGCTGGCCCCATTATCTGAGTAAAAGGTGGCTAAGTAGTTGGTTTATTTTTAGATAATACTAGGAGTCAGCCAGTATGATCTTAAATTGCTTTATTTCTTGTCTTTGGTTGGTTGGTTGACATAAAAATGGCTAGTAATAGCCCTGATATCCATGATTTTATAATCTGGTGGTGATAAAGTAAAAGTAGATATCCCAAGTAGATTCCCAATCATAAAACAAATTGGAAAAAAAAATCATTACAAACCAGCAATGCAATCTCATCAAATACACTGTAGTAAAAAAAATTCTTTTCAGGTTTAAATAAAAAGATAATTTTCAGTTGTGTAAATTAATCCAGATTTTAGAAAAAGGTGTAATGTTTCCTGAGCATACATAAACCTGATTTTAAAAATATATCTGAAAAAGATAGTATCAACAATCAAACTAAAGAGCATTTACATCTACATAGATTAAAAAATGCAAATATTCATCAAAATATCATCATAATTATCTCAGAGAAGTAATATCATAAGTAATATATTAATAATATTATCGTGTTGTCATTGAGTTGATTCAGACTCACAGTGACCCTATAGGACAGATTGGAACTGCCACAGTGACTCCAAGGAGCAGCTGGTGGATTCTAATTGCTGACGTTTTGGTTATCAGCTGAGCTTTTAACCACTTTGCCACCAGGGCTCCACCATAATAGTATAGGTAATATTATTTTCCTGATTTTGTCTAATATTTTACATATATTTTAGGCATTTTTAAAATTTCCTATAATAAGCTTATATTCCATTTAAAACTAGTAAAAGAAAAACTATGTATTATTAACTTCTGATATTCTATTTTAAAGAAATCATCAATGATGTAGTTCAAAGTTTATGTAGGAGGATTTTTATTGTTTTATTATTACAGTAGTAAAAATTGGAAAAGCAACCCCATAAATGATTAAAAAAATAAGCGAATGATGAATAAATCCAAATTCTATATGATTTAATATCATATAAACAATTAAAATAATATTTTACTACTATTTAAGGGTATAATATGCAGTTACATGAAAAGAATATAAAATTTTGTATGATTTCAGTTTGTTAGAAAGTAATGATGTATATTGGATTTTGAAACTGTAAGGAATGGCAATAAAATGTTAACAGTGGTATCTCTGGGTAAGGAGATAATATGTGACCTATCTTCTTAATCTGATATGTATTTTCTCGTAATTCAAATATTTATCTCTATATATATGTATTGATTATAATCAGAAAAAAAAAAACTTTACTTTTAAAGTATTCTTCCATGATACAAAACTTGGAACAAATTAGAAATGGATTGTACTTTTCTTTTCACTGTATCTATGAATCACCCATAAAACTACAACCACTTAGGTAACAAATTTGGGTCACTTTTAAAAATTTTTTTCTATTACCAAGAGAAGGAATGGTTTATCAGTGGCTGAGAAATATCCCAACACCCACCCTCCCACCCCCCGACCCCGCACATACTCTGTTCCTTTTATTTTCATTTTTGCTCTTCTCCTCTCCTCTCCTGTTCTGAATAATGTCCAAGCTTCAGTCAGTTTGTATTTTCAGTTTCTCCGCTGGTTGTCTGGACAAAGAAAGCAGTGGACTTTAGACAGTGGTGAAGCAAGCTTTGCCACTTGATCTGTGAGATCCTGGCCACACCATGTAACTTCTTTACGCTTTAATTTCTTGATTTTAAAATAAGAGTGATAAAACTAATATAGGAATGTTGAGAGATTAAATGAGATCAGCTTCTAGAGCAGAGAAGATGTTCAATAAATGTTAGCTTTTTTATCTATTTTCTTCTCTTCAGTCATTTTGAACATTTCTCTATACATGTCTATCCGTGATCTTCTTGCCTTTCTTGCAAAATACTAATATTTTCTTTATTTTTCCTGCTTTTTTCATCTTTAAATAATAGATTTTAAGTCTTTATTTCCTTTCTGCCCACGGTGTGGAAATGGTGATCACCTATTCTTCGATCTTTCAAATTCTTCACCACATCTGCATTTACTGAATATTATTTTGCTTTGTTTTTAAACATTATCTATTGCCTATTAATAGATTTTTAAATGCTTAGAATCATCTTTGGAACGAAAGAGAAGCACATATAGTTTCTTATGTTATGTCTTTTTTATCAAATGTATGTCTATTAATACGAAAACAATTTTAAATGTTTAATTAGTACATGAAGAAACCCAACCACTATGCTAGTTTTTAACGTTTGTCCTTTTTAATGCTTTAATTTTATTTTCTCCTTTGTAAAGTCTATTATTTTTATCCTTTTTCTACCTTTGAATTATAAAATTAATACAGGATTATTGTAAAAAATATTGATAATATAAAAACATATAAACTATTAACCTCAACCTCTAAAGCTGCCCCTTCCTTCCCCACCACAAATCTAATTGTAGCCTTTGAAGATGATCAATGCTAATAGGTCCAAGACAACTTAGTAGCCCCTGCCTCCAATAAATTATTATTACCTTCATAAGAGCTCCATATGTTTGTTTGGCAGTTTGTTCCAAAGTCCTACATATCTTCAAACACATTTTGAGTGAATTAATAAACTGACCTAATATCTTGGAAGATGGAAAATACTTCACGTACAAAGAAAATAAATATGCCAAACATGGTTGGACAACTCGGTACAGAACCTCCAGTTTAATCCTAAATTCCCACCTGGTGGAATCACTATCTGCTCAGTTAAGCTAAAGAACTTCCCAGACCAAACTCATGATTAAAATCTGCATTTGAATAAAATGGGAGCTTCTTCTACCACTAAACATTTTCCTTAAAAAAGAATTTTTTTGATCGTCTTTGGCATTGTAAAAATTGAAATTTTGCTCAAGTTTCCTTTAGTATACCAGACTCCAGTTTTATTTTATTCCAGTTGCTTCTTTTTTTCTTTTTTTTAAATAGACTTTATTTTTTAGAGCAGTTATAGGTCTACAGAGAAATTGTTAAAAAAATGCAGATAGCTCTCATATAGCCCTCTCCTCACTGTACACATTTTTTGACCGTTATTAACATCTTGGATTATTCTGGCATATTTGTTAGAATTGATGAACCAGTGTGGATACGTTAGTATTAACTAAAGTCCATAGTTTACATTAGGGTTCACTCTGTGTTGTACAATACTATGGGTTTAGACAAATTCATAATGTCATGTTCTCATCTTTAAAGTATCATACAGAATAGTTTCACTATCCTACAAATGCTCTATACTCCCCCTATTCATTCCTCCTCTTCTCTCTCGGATCCCCTGGTTCTTGTTGCTTCTTAATCAACAGTCCATTAAACTCTGAGTCTGTTCCACCTATAACCTCCATGCTGTTATTACCCTTCCCTAGTATTAAAATTGGCTCTCAGATTGGTTCACATCAAAGTTGTTCTTTATAGGTTTATGTGTTTGGTGAGGCATAATTTATTCTTTCTTCCAGAGAGCTTGCATTTAACACAAAGCAAAGGCTGAATTTGATAGAATGAATCTCTAATTGTAGAAATAAGACCTCTGTGGGCTTGTTATTTGAGTCATAAAAAAATAAAAATCTTTGAGATCTCCAAAATCACACCAGCCCTTCTTAATGGAATGCAAGAGCCTATGTAACTGCCCACTGCTATATAACAATGATCTGTCGTTTCCAGGAAAAGACAGAACTGACTTTCTT